CTGTTTGCAAGCTACATGTACCACGTAATAAAGAAGTATTTTTCTGAACCAAGCCTGGTTGTGTGAGAATGCTTCAGAACTGGGCGTTGGACATTGTGGACTTGACATTGCTTTGGACAAAATAGCAAGTGTATCAGCTGCATAGGCTTAACTCCTATTCTGATTTTTATGGTAAGGAATGCTTCAAAAATATTAAAGCAGTTCAGTCTGTTCACTCCTTTGACCAGCTTTCTGATATCTTTGGCCAGCAGTATCATTTGTCTGAGAAATACATACACATCAGAAAAATAGTACTTCATGAAATAGTTATTTTCATGTGTTCTGGGTACATACATGTATATAAATAAAAAGGTGTAGATTTGTATAAAAGATTTTGTGGATATATAGCACTCTTCATTTCCTATTACACTGAGTCCTATCTGAACAGGGGGAGCACAGGTAAATTTCACCCCCTCTCTTGCAATTTACTTTGTCTGAGGGTGACTTCAAGAGGGCTTCCTGTCTTCATAGACTCTTTCTGCACAACCAAAGCAGCAATAAATACACCAAGGCAAACTTAGTATGTTCTTTCCCCTCCTTGCTGCATAAAATTCCCTACTGAACACAAATGAATTGAACTGAACCTATTTAGATATTGCTATTTATCTATAACTTCTTCCTGATGAAAATTAACATAATAAAAGAGCTGCCAAGGTCTTATGCCGGAGCCAGCTTTTAACACATAATGATCTGAACAAGCCTTATAAAATAACACAAAGGTATAGTTGCTGTTTTTTCACCTTTCTATGTCATGGCAAGTATCAGATCAAAGGAAGCTATCACATTCATCGACCGTGTTCTTTTCCGTAGAAGATAGATTTTCCCATAGGTCATGCTTCAGTTTCCTTGCGTTTAAACTACTCTGAAAATATGGTGCAGGATGTTGCTATCACATTGGGAGGAGTAAGTAGCAGAATGGATCTAATTATAGTAATATGATAATAGATCACCATAAACATAAAAAAGAAACAGGCACAGGTGATTAAGAACTCATACACATACAATTGCTTTATACTTTAAACATACTATGGTTCAACATTCTGCCATTGTTGCCATTTTTATTTTTTTTTGGTCATTCGTCTCTTAGTAAGAATTATATGTAGTATTGGTTCCCTTTGAGTCTTACCTACAAAAGGTGCGATACTTTCTCATTCTAAGTCTCTATAATATAAATGGTGCAGTAGTCCATCAGCTTTCAGTTTAGTCTCATTAGCACAATATGGGAGATAGTCTTGATCTGATATATCTTGGAACCTAGTGCAGTATACCGATACCTTCACTTGGAACTATCTAAATCCCCAGCTCCAGAAGGACTTTTCTGCATGGCATTCATTCAAATTGACACAAAGGGACCTTGGGCATTGTTCAGTTTACCCAGTAATCTTTCACACAACAGTCCTTTTCAGTTAAAGAGTTTATTAACATATATAAATTCAAAGAATATGTAACAAAGAACATACAAGATTCAAAGGGTTTGGGAGGCTATAGTATGGAAAAATTGAATGATTTGAGTTGGTGAATTTAATAAGCCTGTGCATTCTGTGAAAACGATTGCCAATAAGTGCTTCCAACTAGCATGAGGACATCACCACCCTATTATTTGTTAAAGCTCTTCTGATCTCTTATCAGGCCTCTGTCTAGGCTCGAAAAAAAGTTGCTGCTCCTCTAAGAGTTGCATTAACTTTAATGTGGAGAAGCATTACCAGTTCATAAATGGACTTCAAGGTTATGACTAAATTTATCATAAAATGTTCAGATTTTATGTTATGTGTATAACATCAACTACAAGGTTCGATTCCCCAAATTAGGTAACTACATTTTCCAACCATTATATATTTTTTAAAAATCCACCAAGTTCACTCATTTATAACTCAGGTTTAGCTAAAAGACAGTAAGGGGTGTGGATAAGTCTGACAAACTGACAAGGCAAGAATCTGGCATTCATGCTTTTCAGCAGTGTTATGGATGGTAAATTATCCTCCAGAACATTTCCCTGAGCCGGAAACCCCTTGCTATGTAACATCTTAGCTAGATTTGTTGCAATGAGACGGTTGAACCCTTTCCTACGATGCTTGGGCAATGTATAGCCATGGATCATAGTAGCAAATTGGTCTGTCAGACCCCAGGAGATGGGGTACCCATGTTCATCCAAGACACAGATGCTGGGGAAACAGCAAATGAGGTTGATGAGGTACTTCTGGCATTGGTCGCTGCCTCCTCGGGACCAGGTGCTATTCAGCAGACTTGCATGAGACACATCAAGGGAAGTCAGGTTCGGTGCAGGGACTAGCCTAAGAGAGATTTCTCTGTTTAACATTTACTCAAGAAATGTAGGATAAATGAATATAGGAACACAAGGGGGGATTGAATCTTTTTAGATTCACAAAGAAGTACCCCAAAAGTAGCACTTTTAAGACATAATTTGCTCAGTGTGGCAAATGCAGGGGGTGGGGTTCAATTCTGGAGCCTCCCCTCCTCTCTCCCCCAAACAGATAAATACAACTTTCAGAGCAACTTTATTAAACTTAAAAATTCTCCTGGGAATTTCAGAACTCACTAGAGTAATAGGGGCAGGAAGCATCAGACTGCTTGATTAAACTGAAACTTTTATATTCACTCTCATAAATTAAAAAGTTACTTTGACATTTACTGAAGAGCAGCATTTCTATAGAAAATTGTAATAATATGGTTAGACATACGGAAGTTGAACATCTGGAAGTGCATCTGGATCTGGGTGGATTACCATTTGGAAAGAAGACAGCTTCACATTTACATACTTGGAACCAGCAACAATCTTGGAAGTTTTGTATAAGCCATCCTGTAAACCTATGTTCAGGGGAAAAAAAATCATATTGTAAGTATAATATGTATACAAAGTACTATCTCTAAATCTAACCATAACTATTAATGATTTATAAAACTACAAATGTCACAATTTTTAGACATGTCTGGAAACTATTTTGAAGTGAAAAAAAACAAAATAAAACAATTTGAAATTTTAGGCAAAATTATGAAACCAAATGTATCTACGGTCAAATTGGTATCCCTTGCTGGATTATTCAAATGATAAATTCATTCTTATTTGCCAGAAACATCTTAGGGGCACCTAACACAAAACTGAAAGAAATTCAGCAAAACGGTCACACATAAGAACATTTTATTAATTATGTGTCATCAAGTCAGTGTCAATTCTTAGCGACCACATAGATTTTTCCATGACAATCTGTCCCTGATCTAGTGCTTCAGGTGTTCCAATCACCACTGTAATCAAGTTCATTTACTTGCTGCTGGTTATCCTCTTTTTCTCTTTCCTTCTACTTTTCCCAGCATTATAGACTTCTTAAGAGAGGTAGGTCTTCGCATAATGTGTTTAAAATATGATAAATTGAGTCTGGTAATTTGTACCTCAAGTGAGATCTCTGAACTGATTTGTTCAATAATCTGTTTGTGTTTTTCTTGCCTGTCCATGATATTTTCAAAAATCTTCTTCAACATCAAAGTTCAAAAGTGTCAATACTCTTTGTAACCTGCTTCTTCAAACTCCAATTTTTGCTTCCATAGGGTGCTACACAGAAAACATTGCTTGCATGATTCTAATCTTTGTAGACATGTACTGGCATCTCAATGTCTTTTCCAAGGCATTCATTGCTACTCTACCAAGTGCTAGTCTGCAACATATTCCTTGATTGCTGGTTCTTTTATTGTTGATCCTAAAAGGCAGAAGCTATCCATCATTTCAATATCTTCACTGTCAATTCTAAGGCTGGTTGCTATACCTGTTGTCATGAGCTTGGTCTTCTTTATATGTAATCTTAGTCCCATTTTTTTCCACTGTGCTCCTTGACTTTCATTACTAGGGCTTGAAGATCATTTGCATTTTCAGCTATCAGAGTAGTGTCATCAGCATAGTCAAGTTATTGATATTTCTTTCTTCAGTTTTAAAACCACACTCATCTTCTTCCAATCCACCCTCCCTCATTATATATTCTGTATATAGGTTAAATAAATAAGGGGAAAGTATACAGTCTTTCTCATTCCTTTGCCAACCTGGAGCCAGTCTGTTTCACCATATTCTGATCATACCGTGACTTCCTAATCGGTGTATAGGTTCTGCATGATGACAATTAGATGTTCTAGGATTCCCTTTTTTCTAAGCACATTCCACAGCTTGACATGATCAACACAACCAAAGGCCTTTCTATAATCAATAAAGCACATACTGACTTATTTTTGGCATTCTTCGATTTTCTTAAGTATCCAGCATGGAGAAGCAATAATGTCTGCTCCTTGGCCTTTTCTAAAGCTAGCTTGAACATCTGACATCTTCCTTTCCACCTAGGGCACTAATCTATGATGGATGATCCTGAGCATTATTTTGCTAGCATTTGACATTAATGACAATTTGCACACTCTGTTAAGTCTCTTTTCTTGGTATTGGTATGTAGACTGAGCTCTTCCAATCTGCACCTCCAACCTCCAGCATCTTCCTATATCGGTCTGCCCAATATAGGTGCCTGTTTACTTTAGCGGGGCAGCTGCAATTACCTTTACCCCTGGGAGACCCTGCAAGGATTAAACACTCTTGGCATATAATTATCAGTTGATTCTTGCCATATTGAAAGTGGATTTGTGCTAAACTGATTGAAGTTCTGTCAATATCTATTTCAAATAATTGCATGATCTCTAGGATATTTGTCCTGGAGATGGACTCTCCAACTAAATAAGGAAACTGCTGTGGAAAGCCATCCAGTTGGATTGCTTCCATCCATTTTTTCCCATTACATGCACTTATCCACTACCAGTAACTTTCAGATATGCGAAAGACAACTGGATGTACAAAAGAGAACATAAGGTAATCAGGTCTTAAAGAAAGTAGACTGAATTCTTTAAAATTCAGATGGAAGGAAGAATAGCTCATCAGAAATAGGTAGGATAACATCATATCCCATAGCTTGGCTAATCACTGGAGAAGGGAGGGAAAAAAAGTATGTGATATTAAGGCCTACCCACAAATATTCCAGATGTTAGGGGGTGGAAGGTGGAGTTTCTGAGGAAACTCTTTTTTGATGATAATGAACCTGTTAGTCTTGAGGGTGCATGGCATTGCCCAACGAATACAACTGCCTAAGGGCAAGTTCAAATCAAAGAAATCCCTGAATTGCAACTGCCAACTCTGAAAGCAAAACTAAAGGCTCATGCAGTGATGTTCATTGAAAGGAACAAAATACTTCAACCAATTGTATAGATACTTGTGGGGAGGGCTCACTTGCTAGATGGCTAACCTTACCACTTGAGCTTTACCACTCTGAAAAGCTTTCCTAGAAGGATGCTAGTTCAACCAGTCCAAAACAGAAGATGCCTTTGATGTCAATGAAGTATATAAATAAGAACAGAAAGGTGCTTAAGCTTGTTCTTTACAAAGGGAATTGTACCAGAGAAAAGGACTGAACTCCAGAAAGGGACAGAGGGACACTCCTGCCTCTCCTTTTTATTATTTGTACTCAAAGTTGAGTATCAGATAAGGATAGAAGCAATAGTCACTGAAAGCAAAAATAAGAAAACTACTGTATTAATACAAAAAGAAATCTGTTGATAAAAATAAGCACAAACTTGTTGTTCACTTTTCTTTTATCATTGCTTAATTGCTTAAAAGTAACAAATCACACCAAGTTTGAGGGTTACCTTGTATACATGTGTTGTATCATCCCTGGAAGAACCTATGACACAGGCTACTTCCCACTGAATACTTCTGGGAGTTGGGATACATAATTAATTTCAGAGGGATTATTATAAAGAGCAGTACTCATTGCCACTTGAGCATTATATTCCTTCTGCTTCACAACAAGGTTTCTCCAAGCTCTATGGGCCTCATATTCTCTGCTTTCAAGTGCCACTGGATATCAGTTTATCCATAGTGCCAGAATTTGAGAGGAAGCCCCATGTATTTCTTCCTTGGCCTATGGTATAAAGAGGCACCCAGAAGGGTCTGTTGGTAGCTGGAAAGGACACTCATGGGGGCACACTGGATAAGGTACTTTCTGCTTCTCCTTCTTCTAGGGCTGGGCATGGAGCAGTAATGAAGTACCAGGACTGCTGTATCAAATCTCAGCCACTTTATCTTGTTATAGCTCTTGCTGAGTTGAAAGAATGAGAGGAAAGAGAGAAAAAAGAAGAAAATTCTTCAGAGTACTAAGTCTCTGTGATGATTGGGATGCTGGAACTGCCACTCAAAGGATAGCAACACTGGGCATCTCCTCCCAGGTTATATTCCATCAGCAGGAAGCAAGTAGGAGAGAAGGATTTGGGAAGGACAGGTGGAAGGACAGGTCTGAGGAAGAATGAGCATCCCAGCCTGCAATACCTGTCAGGGTAGTAGGGTTAAGAATAATTTAAAGACCATTGGACTAGTATTGATGGGATAGAGATAATTTGTAGAAATAAGTGAAGCTCTTTTAAAACCCATTTTTAAAGTTATTTAATAGAAGTCAATTTGTTCCTTCATTTCTATGTTGACCAAGTGTCTGTGCTATCCTATATCTTTCCTGTGGCCTCAGAAATTTAAAAATGTCTCAACAAGATTTTAATGGTGGCAGTGGAAGACAAGGATAATAAAGGAAAAGACCTCCCCCTCCCCATGACAAGAAAGCATGTTATTGTCCTTCACAAGCTTTCTTCCTGTTTAGAAGTAAAAAAAAAAAAAAAGAGTTCAAAGTTATACAAGAGAATTTAGAGAAGAAAATGGTGCTGTTAAGGAGCTCTAATCCACCCAGATCACTCTGCTTGCTAGACAAGGTTCATATGGAAAACAAAATGGCTTCCCCACCTGGAGAGTCAAAATGAAAAGTTGGGTTCTGCCTACTTGCTCCAGTTACCTTGTCAGACCAACTTTTTGGGAAGCTCAGGAGAAACATCCCATCACAAAAGACTGATGAAAAGACAGCATCCTTTTAGAGTCTGGTTTACTTGTACCATCATTTTTTATATATATATTTTATCTGAAGCAGTTTTCCCCACTTGGTAAACTCCAGATATTTTGTACCATAACCAATTGTATGGGACAATAGATGATATAATTAACCATACTGGTGGGGATGAGGGATTTGGCTGGAGGAAGAATTTGACATCATCTATGATTTATGATTCACTGTTGAAATTCTCAACTCTGCACCATCAGATCTTTTCAAACTCTCATTTTAAAATCTTTTTAAAAAAAATCAGGATAACCATTAATGTGTTCTTTTTCATAGCAAAGAATAGGCTTTACCTTGTATCTGGAAGACTTGCTCCCAGTTTATAGTCTCTGGGTTCTCCAACAATGCCTGGTATGCTTGCAGATTTTTGTAAAAAACAGCATACGCATTAGTAAAATAGTCTAGGGCATCACTTTTGGCCTATGTGTGAAAAAAAGCAACATCTTAATTCAGTTCATAGTATTATGTGCACAGATATGCACCTAGTTTGCTGCTATAGTTAAGGGTCACAAAAGTGAAATGAGGGTTTGCAGATCAGTATGAGAACCTAGAGGCAATTGCAGCTAAACTACCAGTTGGGAATTTTCCTGGGCTCAGGAATCAAGAGTCCTCAGAAGACTACTTTCAACCTGGAAACAGGTTAAGAAAGCCACTGCAATCCTTTCTCGGTGTTGCCTGGGCTGTGTTCACATGATATACTAAACTAAACAAAATAATAGAACTGAAAGGGTCACTAGCCATTGAGTTCAACCCTCTGCTATGTGCAGGGACCAAATCTAAACAATTCCAACAAATATCTATCTAGACTTTGCTTGAAGTCATTCAGTGAGGGGAAGTCCACCATGTTCCTTGGGAATAGCAGGCCATTAGCAAAGTGGTTAAGATCTGATTCTTCCTCTGGACCATTGGGCCAATATGAGTGCAGTCTTCCTTTTTTAGGAGTTATAGTAGATTTAGCCACGCTCACCATTTACTGTTTATTTCATTTTAATGATATGTTTGGTATTATTGGTTTGATTTTCCTTTCTTTTTTCTTTTGTACCCTGCCCAAAGTCCCATTGTTTGAGTTGGGTGGCTATATAAATACTTTAAATAAATAAGTTGGTTCAACTGTCAAACTATATGGTCAACATTAAATGAAGAATGTATAACAGATATAACAACAATGCCTGAAGAACTATTGAGAGATCTGCAATGGTAATAATTTAATTTTATGGTCAAACTAGATTTAACATTATATGTACAATCCTTTAACTCATACACTTCCCCCTCAGGAGATTATCAGAAGCTTTCACTTCCACTTTTAGTTCTACGGGTAATCTTCAATTTACAACCACAATTCGGGCTGGAATTTCTGTGGCTAAGAGATATGGTTGTAAAGCATAATGTCACGTAACAGCATCGCTTAGTGAGAGCAATCCCAGGCAGTCCCAGTTGCCACTGTAACCCCAAGATGCACGGGTTAAGTGGGAAGAGGCAGGAGTCCCAGGTAAGGAGCATAGGGGTGTCACGAGGGGGTGAGGGAGGCCTGGGAGAGTCAGTGCAGGCTATGCATGAGTTTTCTTGGCAGGCCATGGCTCTGGGGCTGCAAGCTTTCTCCAGCCCCAGAATCATGGCATGCTAAGAAGCCCCTTTGTGCCACACTGCTGGGCTAGATTGGGGCTGGGCTTCACATGGCAAAAAGGAGCTTCCTGGTATGTTGTGGCTCTGGGGCTCCAAAAAGCAAAAAGCTGCAGTGGACCAGGAAGCCCCTTTGCACTGCGCAAAGGCCAGCCCCAGCCTACCCTAGCAGTGTGGCACAAAGCCCCCACACCCTGGGAAGCCCCAGACACCCCAGCCCCGTCCCAGCCACAGTCACCCTTGCCACCCTGCACCCTGCCACCCCAGCTAACCTCCCCCATCTTCTTGCTCCCACTGCTGACAAGGCGTACCTGCCCTGGCCCTTTGCAAGGCAGCTGCTGGCCACATGAGGCCATCTTTGCCAGGTCTCACAAGGAAATCACTGTGTGTAACCTTGGGAAGAAAGCCTTGTGTCACTTTTGGTGAGGAATGGAGAACAGATGCCCCGTGCTTTGCCAGAGACATTGTGGCAAAAAGGCAGCTGGATGCAGGATCCAGACTGCTGATAATTCTCTTGGGATAAAAGAGACATCTTGAGATTACCTCATGCATTCTGGACAGCTGGTTGTTTTGTGAGTTGACAGCAAAAACTGATGTTTTTGCAGTCACTTGTGATCATCTGGGAGTCACAGATTTCATCATGCTCTGAGCCATTAATGTAGCCTTTTAAGGACTTAAAATTTGTCCAAACCTCATCTTTTTAATCACCTTGGAGTTTTTTGTTTTTCTTACTATTTCTTTAAGATTAAAAAACCTTTGGAACCACAAGTTGGGCATTCATTGGGTGAGTCTCTCTTCAATCCATTTAAAAAGAAAGAAAACTGCATGTTTTCAGCTTTGTAAGAGCTTTATTTTTTGTAGTATATAACAAAAGAGGGACTATAGTGTTGTTTTTCTGGAAAGTTTTTAAATGCTAAGGATTTGGATGAAATTGATTTAAAGAAAGACTTTGAAATTAATTAAAAAGATCCTCTCATATGGGAAAAAAATTATGTTTATATTTCAACCAGATAACAAAGGTTTGAAGGTTAATCACTAGAGAGAATGCCAGATGGCTACTTTAAAGGAAATGTTTTACAAGATGGCTCAAGAAATGCTTGGACTATTTAACTCCATACTAGAACCAAAAGTTGTTAATGGAGGTTGCTGTTTTTGGTGATGTTTAATGGTTACTTTGACTGGCTAGTTCTTTTTTGGAAATGTTCAATTGGGTGTAATGGATTAGTTTGTAATATCTAGGTTACTGTTTTTTATATATAAATAAGCAATTATTATTTCTGGTAATATTTAACAGTTTTTATTTTTCTGTAATGTTTAATTGTTAATTGGTATTAATAATAGGTTGCTATCTCTGGTGATGATTAATGGTTATCTTTTTGCATTGTTTAATTGTTAATTGGGATTAGATTTTGATTATTAAGAGAGCGATTAGGAGATTATGTTTAAATGGAAAAAGGGACTGAATGCTTATGTTGTTGGTTATGTCTGTTCATTTTTGCACCTTTTGTTGGTTTAGGATTTAGAGATGGGCCTATAGAAAATGGGGTGAAGTATGGAATGAAGATGTATTTGGTAGTATTTTAAGAGACAGTGATAAATTATTGATGTTGAATATAGTTGCTGGGGATGAAGGGAAAAGTTTCTTATCTTTTTGGGGGGGGGTTCTCTGCACTTTCTCAATATTACTTTTTTAAAAATGTAATTTTGTATTATGTTTTTGTGTTAGTTTTATCTGTTTTATATAATCTTTAATAAAATTATTGAGGGGGGGGAAGAAAGCCTTGTGCAGGCAGCAGCTACCTCGTGAAGGGCCAGGGCAGCAAGAAGATGGCAAAGATCAGCTAGGATGGCAGTGGCTGTGGAGTGCAGGGGGCCAAAAGGGCATAGATGCTGGGGGGAGATAGGTGGGTGGGAGAGCTGAAGTGCCCTTGCAGTCGTAAGTGTAGGCAGGCTGCCAAGCACCTGAGTTTTGATAACATGACCCCATAACTTTGGGGACCGGTTGTAAGTCCCTTTGTTTACCACCATCGTAACTTCAGATGGTCGCTGAACAAATGGTTGTAAGTTGAGGACTACCTGTACTTATTATTGCAACTAAATCTGAAATGGCAATTAAAATTAATTATAGTTTAGAGGAAGAATGGGTAACCTATAATCCATAGCTCACTGAAGCTCTTGCTTGCTTCTAACATTTTTCACCAATTTGTTTTGCCAACTCTCTTCCCTAAAAGCTCATTTTGTATTAATAGCCATATTCTGAATGAAGTGCTTTGTACCCACACAGCAGCGAGAGTTGCATTAAGTCCCAAAATGTTGTCTACCCTTGATTTAGAGAAACAACCTATATTTTGAAATTGGTCTGGTTCCTTGAAAATATAGTTAAGATAACCAATAACCATAGTTGGTATTGGTTATCTGGGGAAGATGGGCGGCATATAAATTTAATTAATTAATTAATAACAGATTAGAATTAAAATGAAAGCAAGAGTAGCCAGGTCATTGAGTTTCATAACTCTACAAATTAATAGTTCCCATATCTTTGGAGAACACCAGCTCAGGGAAGTCTGTATTAAATTTTAGATTAATGCCCAAAATGTTTATTGTGCATTTCAGTGTATTTTGTACAGAACCATTACAAGTACTGCTTTACCTCTTTTTGTCGGCGAGTAATTACAGCTTTAAATTCTGGCCATGAATCCACCACCACTTCCTTTTTGAATGGATTTCCTCTGTTTATATTCAACACTGCTCCATAAACCTTCAAAAAAAAGATGGGCTTACAAAGATTTATAAAACAAAAACACTTTTAAAAATCAATTTCTTTGGGTTCTTTTATATACTCAAGGCATTCACCAACTGGCAGTATTTGCAGCTACAACAATTATGGACATCTTCAGACTAGCAGCATTTTCAGCTTTAGATACCTAAATTATTAGAAATTATTATTAAATGTTGAAAGACAAAGAAAACTGAATGGAACAAGGAATTATAGAGATCTTCATTTTGTCTGAACAATGGGAAATTGTCTTAACATTGATATCAACAATTTTAATAGATTAAATTATGGCTTATTCAACAAAGAATAGATTACATTTATAGAACTCTACTGTGTTTGCGTAGAAAAGGAATAAGTAAATCATCATGCTGGAGATGTAATAAGAATGTTTCATCAGAACAATAAAGCAATGGTCTAAAGTTTTATGTCCTAGGAAGAAATATTGGAGATGGAGTTTAACATTTTCAGATATCCATATTCTTTTGAACTACGTACCTATTAAATGGAAACTGGCAGCCGGACAAGAGAAATGGATTCTCCGTGCCATTTTTGTTCCCAAGAGACTAGTCCTTCAACATCAGGAACATAAATTTATGCTCTGCCCCTGGGATTACTCAGTGAAGACCTGATGTTACTTGCAACTTATGAATGAATTGCTTACAGACTTATTTAGGGATGTTTACTATGAAATATGGTCTGTTTATTGAGCTGTTGTATAAAATTATCTATACATATATACATGTATCAGAAGGCCTTATGTACAGGTAGTCCTCACTTAATGAACATTTGTTCAGTGACTGAAGTTACGACCATGCTGAACAAATGGTACTTACATCTTGAAGTTATGGCCATTGCAGTGCCCCGTGGTCATGTGATCAAAATTTGGGCACATGGCAGTCTACCTGCATTTATGACCACAGGGTGTGCTTCAACTTCCCCCCACCTGTCTATCTCCCTCCCATCTCTGCCCTTTTGGCTGCGCTGCACTCTGCCGCTCCCACCACCTGTGTTGCCCCTGCTGCCCTGCACTGTGCAGCCACTGCCACTCCAGCTAACCTGTGCTCTGACGTCCCGGGCATCCTGTGCTCTACTGCCTTTGCTCCATCACCTCTGCCACCCCCGACTGACCTTTCCCGTCTTCCTCCTCCCACTGCTGACAAGGCATGCCCAGCCTAGCCTTTTGCAAAGCAGCTGCTGGCCACGTGAGGCCTTCTTCCCAAAGCCTTGCAAGAAGGTCATGTGGCCTTCTTGTGAGGCCTCGGCAAAAAGGCCTCACATGGCCAGCAGCTGTCTCACAAAGGGCCACGGAAGCCACTTACCCACCTGCCGACCTGCTTGCAAGCCACTAGGACTTGCAATTTCCTGCTGGCACCCCCACTGACTTTGCTTGTTGGATGCCAGCAGGAAGTTGCAAGGTGGTCTTTTAACAACCCACAATCCTTACTTAACGACAGAGTGCCGGGATTGCCATTGCTAAACAATGTGGTCACCTGACATCCCATTTTATGATCCCATCGCTTAGCAGTGGAAATTCTGGTCCCAATAACTGTTGTTAACTGAGGATTATGTATAATTTGTTTTTACTTTTTTCTTGTTTATTCTTGTTTTGTTTCATTTAATTAAAAGCAAAATAAAAATAAATAGGCATCTATTCACCATGACTTAAGCCATTTTAACTGAAAACCCATAATTCTTGAAGAATTTAGTTCTTCCCTCCTACCTTTACCCTTGCAGGGGATGAACAATCTTCAGTTCTTCCAAATCTAAGCACTCATAGCTTTAATGCATAAGGATATCTGCTGCCTAATAAACCCAGTGTCTTTCCACTTTTTTTTCTCTCTCCTTTCCACACATAACTTCCAGCATTTTCTGGAAAAAAATAGTTTTTCTCCCTCAAATTAGTTCCAATGATTCATAAATATAATGGTTCATAAATATAAATATGTAAATTCCCAAGATGGCAGAGAGACTGGAGGTTGTATGGTGCAGGCTCCTGTGGATGGTTTTTTGTAGGTTGTAGGTGGTGAGAGACATGTTGGCTTGTTGGGGGCTCTGTAGCCTACCTGTCTGGTGCACCTTGGTGACTGGCTGGACTGCCAAGAGTTGGAACCTGGGCTGAATCAGCTGCACCGCAGGGATCGGATTCCCCTTTGGGCCATTGGCTGTAAGGGGACATGCTGCATATGTTCCTCATCCCACAAATTACCATTGGCAGTGGGAGTTATGCAGGGATCACTCTGGAGGAGGCTTACTGGTGCTTCGCTGTTTTGTGGTGGTGAAGTGGCCAGCAGCCAGATGGATGGTAGGGGAGATGCAACACTAGGCAGCAGTGCTAGAAGCCTTGGTGGTGATGGTGGTGGCAGCCAGAGTTTGGGAGATCACCCTGCATGTGGCAGTGATGGTGCTCATTTGTTTGGTCACTGGTGTGCAGTCACACACAGATGTTGGTTTCCTGATGGTGCCTAGCTGGATTACACTGAAGACTGGTAGCAGCCTAGTGCAGCACTCTGTATGGTCTCTTCAGTGGAGGGCTTCCTAGGACTTAGAAGATGGCTTTGCTTCCTGTTCTTGGGAATCAGAGGAGTATGAGCTGGGGTGGCTGAACCAAGGTTTAGTGGCAGCAGAGGGCTTGTGCCTGGAAGCTGACCCAGATCCCTGCAGGAGCCATTTTGTCTTCTTCATCACCAGGTGTGCAAAAAGGACAGCGTGGTGATATGGTGGGAGCCAGGGGGTGGGCCATTCTTAGGGAACACAATCCTGGTGTCTTATACCGGTGTCTCATTCCAGCTCCCTGAACTCAGACCCATTTCCTGATCAGCAGACCCACAGAGGCCCTGGATTTCGGCTGCTGCTACTAACTCCAGGTCAGTCTGTAATAAGGCTTCCTTCGCCTGTGATCCAATTCAAGGTACTGCTTATGACCTTTAAATCACTACGTGGCATGGGACCAGGTTATCTGAGGGATCGCCTCTCCCTAGTTACATCTACCTGTCCTATCAGGTCCAGCAGTAGAGGCATGTTGTGATCCTGTCAGCAGGGGAGTTTTGTCAGGCGGGACCTAGGAGGAAAGCCTTTTTTGCCATAGCCCCTGCCCTGTGGAACAGGTGAAGCTGGCCCCAACCCTTTTGGCCTTCAAAACATTATTTTGCCAACAAGCTTGGGGATCCCATGATAGAACGGAGCCGGTTGGCTAGTTGTATGATAGGTTTGTTTTATCTTGTTTTTTATCTTAATTTAAATTGTGGTTTTTATGTAGTTTGTCTTACTATGTACGCCGCCCAGGGTCACTATGTGAGATCGGCAGCTATACAGAAGTGATAACTGACTGACTAAATGCAGCTTGGTTTGATCTTCTTTCTTCTTACCAGGTACTTTAATAGCTTACCTTGAATTATTTATATTACCTTGAGGGATTCAGGAAGATTCTTCCTTAACATATGTTCTAGGATTTGTAGTTTTGTGGAACAGTTAAGCACCAACATCTTCACCTGCCCATTTAACAGCAACCTGAGTAAAGAAAGATAAGTCCCAATCCTGATGATTGGAAGTAAACAGAACTTTGATGGATAGGACAAATGGAAACCTGAAATATGTTCCTAGATATTACTAAATGCTTTGTAAGATTGGCATTGGCTTTAATAATAAAATGGACTTTATCTTAAACTTGTAAAGATATTTCTACATATAACGATACTATAAAGTGGCCTCTGTATAATCAGTACCAACTCAAATTGTACTATAGACAAATTCTATCTCATGGAACTTGGTGGACTCAAGAATAAACCAACCGAGGCTTTACAATGGAGCTCATGAACTGGACTCCCTGCAGTTGCAAAACAGAATTTTAATTGCCTGAGGACATCACACCATTGTTTTTCTGCACATATTTACTAGATCATTAACTTATGCACTTTTCCCATCCATTAGTCAGTTCTGTATAATTCTGAATTTATGCATAGAGCATATTAGTTCCTTCACTAAAGGCTACTCAAAGCAATATACAATGAACAAAAATTAGGCAGCATATCTCTGAAAAAAATATACTACCATGTACAGTACAGGAAAAATTTAAATCATACTGCCCTTCAATCTCAACAATTTTATATGCTATGAAAATATGAAGAAGAGGACATGATCTGAGATGATGGAAAAGTACATGTACAAGCTAGCAACACAGAAATTATGCTGCCTGGATGCAGAATCTACTGGTAGAATGGCAGAGGAAAAAGCAAATCATTGGAAGCTTTGTATTTCAAAATAAATACTTTTAAAAAGTTTTCCCCACTTCCAGGAATTGCTCCTAAATTAGGAAACCCTGAATACTGAATACATTTGGCTGTCTAGACAATCATTTCAAAGGCCATAATTCTAATCCTCATAGATAGCTGGAGTTAACCTCACATACCTGGAGTTGACTCGACAGCATTACTCAGATGCAGAACACAGCCAAAGCATGAAGAGGTAGCTGCACTTTAGATTATATATAAACCTTCTAGGATGGGATCAGTAGGTGGGTGGAAACATGAAGGAGAAAGCAGCTACACCTGTAGAGGAGGGACTTGCAGTACTGGCCAAATAAACTGAAGGTATGTTCTGCATTTATTTCATTACCCCGTCCTCCTCTCTGATTGTTGCTCTTGCATTTATTGCAAGAAAAGATGTTTTGACATACTTTAAATTAAAACTGCTGTTAAAAATTAATTAATACAATGGTCAAGTCATTCTTAGTTCTAAGCCTTATTGTAGAATTCTCAAAATTGTGCACAATTGTGAAAAGTAGAGGACTCCTCTTCCTTTCAAAGTGTTGCTTCTGATATTTGACCCCCCCCCTTTTTTTTGTATGTTCAGCAGGGAAAAGTTTTCTATGTTCAACTCTATCTCTTCACAATTCTTTTTGCCTGACTGAATCTTTTGTGGAGTATGGTTTACAGGAATATTATCTACAACAGGAATGAGGAAGTTTTTGGCAGCTAGTGGCTGCACTTTTATAGGAGTGTTTAGCAGATAGTGTGCAACAGTTGTGTCAATGAAAGTATGTTAAGCCTATCAGAGACTTAGTAAGTTTATGTTAGCACTTAAGACCCCTCCAACAAATTCATTGTGCCCCAGATTTCAGCAGCATGATCCTGAAGGGAGGGATATATGGACTAAAGAAAGGGAACAGGGGTCACATATACCTCCCTCATGAGGTACATGAGTGTCTGAAAAAGAAAAGAAAAGAAAAAAAAAACTCACAAGAAAAACTCATAAAACACCTGTTAGAATATATCCTAAGGAAATACTGGTAATTGTTTCTAGACTAATTTATTCTGGAATGTGGAATGATTCTTGTGGCCTATCTAAAGCAAGTTACATGTCTCTAGAGAATTTTCACAGTTAAGTCATTTATATTTAAACTCATAAGCTGAAATTAAAATACAAACAGTCAATTTTTTATAGCTCTTCTATATTAGGCAGTAAACACCTTGCTTTTTGATTGCCTTAAGGCAGCATTGTGTTTGATTTCTGATAAAGAGCTGCAACAGCCAAATTGTACCTTGATGATGCCAAGTCTACCTATTTCAGTGACTTAAACCCTTATCCTGGAGGGCTACAAAATCATTGCAGAATGAAAAACACATCACACAGACTGAAAAATTAAAATAGATGTAATATTCTATTACAGAAAATGTAGTAGATTTACAATCTGATGTAAACATATTTTAGCTAAAATCTTTCTCTCTCAAACATGCCTTTTTACTTTAGCTTCTGATGTCCCTTATGTAGTAACTATACATATGCTTTTACCTCTCTGTGGATCAGACTACTATAAGTTTTCCTCATTAAAGAGTGCAAGAGTGAAACCAATCAATCAGCTAGCAACATGTAAACGTATTATAAAGATATCTCATTGGCAACACAATATTCTAATATCTGTATCAAAAAGCATGTTTATTTTTTAAATATACAGCTCTTTCAAAAAATGAAAAGACAGACATCTAGGCCAAGGTGATAATTACAGTAAATGCTGTTTTATTTTCCAAAAGTGAATAATGCTTGAAAATTAACACACAGGAACACAAAAAGTATTATTTCTTAAACTTGTTATTAAACCTGAGGAGAACCAGGTGTTATTTTCTTTACAATAGTAATCTGAGTGAAAAATGATATCCTATAATTAAAGTAATTCAGTTTCAGGCTTTCCTATTTTTAAGTATTAATCTCAATATCCATGAGATCTAATTACATTTTAAACAACAGGTAACAGCAAATAGACAAAGGTCTATTGCTTGATTACATACAAGATTGCTCTCTTTTTAAATATACAAATAAAATTAACACTCTCATTAGATGTGATTGGACATCTTAATGTTCAGTACTAAACTGGGGTACTTACAACAACCAATCATATTGCCTAATATCTACGAGAACAAAGACAATAAGCACAGTCCACTTTAAAGAATTTCTCTCACCCACCCTCTGGAAGGAGCAAAGACTTACCTTGGTGGCCAGCTCATTCAGCAGCAATTTAGAGAATGGCATAAGGACTAATCTTTCCTGAAACTGATGTCACCTTCCTTCCCCCAGGGCTATTTCTAAAGGGAGAAATGTCTTTGCAGCTGCTTCTTCCATTTAAGAGCTAGAAATTGACCTAAGTCCCCTTGTCCAAAAAGTAATACATTGATGGTGGGAGCTTAGTGTTCTGTTTTGCACACTCATTCTCTCTCTGGTACAATCCCAAGTGAAGAAAGACACCTCAACAGGCTACAATGCTCTTTGCAGCTAAAGAACCAGAGTGAAAGAAAGGAGAAACCAAACTATTCTCATTCTAAGAATCACTGGAGCACTGGCCTCCCAACGTAAGCGTCTTATATTCTTTGCCCACATCCACAAAAATTTGCAAATAAGCAAATACTGTATCCAGTTCCAGAGGGCAGGGGAGAAATGGGCTCCTTCCCACTGATTTTCACAGCTACAAACATGTTGCTCACTATCTCTAAGTTTCACTGAATAGTTCACAAGAGCCATGAGTCCCCAATGAAAACTTGTTTACGCTTAAGTCAGCTTGCCAATGAAGTAATCTAAATATGTTTTTATCTCCATTTGTACCTGTTACTCAAGCAGCAAAAGTTGCCTGCTTGCCTCAAAATTACACCAACATATTCAAAAAGAAACAACCCAGAACCAGGACAAATTTTATACTTGGTACTAGAGTAAGTAGCCATATGTAGAATACTGGCTAGAAGGCTAGAGCTTAGCCTTTTGTCATCTGATCAGCACTAGGGGTTTTGCATCAGATCTTAATGATGGTTACATTCAAAACAATGGGACTAGGCCATAAGACAATTTAAGCATAAATCGGTTACAACAGATGATGTGGTTTGCAGCTATCAGGAGCTAGGCATAGCTCTGAACATAATATCATATTTGGGGTTGTTTTATCTATTTCTCTGGAAAAAATAAAGTTTATGAAACCCAAAAAAGTTTGAAACTACAAAATATAGTTCGCTACTGGGAAGCCTATCTCTTGATATCTTTACCCCAATAAAACTGTAGCAGATTATATTTTGTTAATTACATCCATCTGAAAAGTTTCCATAATGCCATTGGAGAATTGCAGAATGCAAACCAGGTTAGGAAAACTATTTATTTCAAAGATTTCCTTGGAAGACAAAGGAAATAAAGGTACAGCCCATGTCTTTGTTCTTCTGTACATCTATGGCCTGACTCACTCCACTTGGAACTCTGCCTTTTCATATAATTGTTCTAGAAAAGCCTTCATAGCCTTCATCTCATCTGACTGCTGAATGACATTCATGTCACCAAGAAGAGCTTGTGGGTTTCCAATCTTCAAAACCTCATTCTATAGAATAGAAAGTTTAACAGAGTACAAAATGAAATGAAAATGAATGAAATACTGTTTATTTGGTCAATGACCAGCCAAATTGAAAATATACAGCACAAAAATAAAATCAAGGGCAAGATAAAATACTAGCCTAACAAGAGCTAGCCTCTATAATAAAAATGCAACATACTATAATAGTGCATTAATTACCTGTGCAAGTGTAAAGCTAAACTACTACAATCTATAAGGTAAAAATACATATCACCTAAAACAAAACTTCAACAGAGTATGAGATAGCTCAGAAGTATAAAAAGTGGATAGCATTACATTTGTCCTTTACTAGAAAAGAACTTTTATCATTTTTTGCTTGATACAGAAGAGGTTTCTGGGCTTATTCTTTTGGAATAACAGAGTTTTTAAAATCTGAATCACAGTAAAAACAGGTCTTAAAAAAACATATGTTCAAGAGGAACTTAGACTTCTTACTGTCAGGAAGCACGTGAAACCTACTTCCACCATCTCTACTCACCTGAAGAACAGGTAGTTCGAGAGACTCCGCTGAAAGAACAGGAAGACCTAGGTCATCATTACCATCTCTATGGAATAACTGGAAAGAAAGCAGAAAACATTTCATGCTGACATGTAACACCAAATGTTTACTTCAATTCTTTCCCCATATCCTACTTCTGGGAAAAAAAAGAGACTAATATCATTTTCATTTCTCATACTTCTTTGTCAAGGAAAAGGTATGCCTTATACAATTCCTGCTGCCTAGAAATAAACACACACATACACAATAAATAATAAAATAAAATAAAATAAAATAAAATAAAATAAGGGTCCTGGCTCCCAAATACCTTGTCTGCTTCTGCTTCCAATGCTGCCAGCTCATGATTTAATGGCTGTATTTCCTTCTGGAGAATTTGAATGTTTTCATACAATGTATTTATTGCTAATGAATCTTTGGCGATTTCTCCCTACATTTAAAAGGAAACAATGTTAACAAATGTATTTAAAGTAAGGATATACTGCATTTTGTGTCAGAATTAACACAAACTTGATTTGGGTCACAAACTTTATGCAGCACATTTCTTCTCTTTTTTTTAATTAACAATTGTGTGGAATCTATTGAAAAGATATCCCTTTTAGTCAAATGGAAGAAACATTAAAATATAATATATAATTTGAAATTATGAAATTTGTAATCTGGGATGAAAAGGGTCATTTAATGATTCATATATCGAGGGGTTCAGAATTTAGCTTTCTATTCTACTTTGGGAAGTGGAAGCTATGATAAGGCTGTGCAACACTTCTAATTCAGAAACCTCTCTTTAACACCTGTCAGTTTCTGGAAAATACCATGGCTGCTTCAATGAGCCACAGACAGGTACTAGATTTATACTCCCATGTATTCTGAAGCATGTTCCAAAACATGAGTCAATTGTTGTACAATGTTCAGAACTAGCCAGTGTCGCTGAATCAGTTTGGCCCAAACTGAATCAGATGCCTTCCATCAATAGACTTTTATGCATACAAACGTAAATCAAAACTTTAAATTGATTCACCCATTCAAAATGCAAATTCAAATCAAGTTGAATTTATTCTTTGAATTAAACCACAAATAATAATCAGATCTTGGCTAATTTGCATATTTATATTCTGCAACAATAGTGTAATGGTTTATTAGCACCAATTTAAGCTTTTAAGTTCACAACTCTTCTTAAAATAAAGCAAAATGACAAATTGTTAAAAGGAAGAAAAAACATTGGTAAACTACATACTCCTTTTTAGGAGTATGAGTATCATCAGAGTATCTTGTGGTGTCTGGAAGATTAACAGATTTATTATGACACTTTAACAAATGCATGGAGTAGTAATAATTCATAAACAGAAATAATAAACAATGAGTTCAGGCAAGATTTTTTATTGCTTTTGTAGCAACAGTCTAACACAGCTATGGAAATGTTATTTGTGGAACACTGTATACTATATCATATTAACTATTTATTCACACAATGTGCTACAGGTAGTCCTCAACTTACAACCATTTGTTCAGCAACTGTTCGAAATTACAATAGCGCTGAAAAGTGACTCACGACTGGTCCTTGAAGTTACAGCCATTGTAGCGCCATGGTCATGGGATCAAAATGTGGGTGCTTGGCAGCCTGCCTGCACTTATAACCACAGGGAAGCTTCAACTTCCTCCACCTGTTTATCTCCTCCACATCTCTGAACTTTTGGCTGCCCCACACCCTGCCTTGTGGGACAGCAAGCAGCCCCAGAACCATGCGGCTCTGGGGCTGCCTGTCATGCCCTGGGAAGCCGCAGCCACCCCAGTCACCCTCATCACCCTGTACTCTGAGACCACTACCATCCTGCGTTCTGCCGCCTCAGCTCACTTTCACCGTCTTCTTGCTCTCACTGCTGGCAAGGTGTGCTCGGCCTAGCCCTTCATACCAAGAAGCCCCTTTGCATGAAGTTGGCAAAAGCAAACCCCTTTGCAAGTGGTTTCTACAGCAAACACTTCCTACATGTGGCTCCCTAAGCCAACTTCTGGTGCTTTCCCATTGGCAAAACTAGTTCTTCCCTTCCCATTGGCTGGCATTCTTATTTATGTCGCACTGCTTGCCACCCCCCCTTGAATGCAGAAAGCAGTTTCACCCAGGGGCTTGCTTTTACTGGCTTGCTTTTGCCAGCTTCATGCAAAGGGACTTGCTTTTGCCAGCTTCATGCAAAGAGGCTTGCTTTTGCCAGCTTCATGCAAAGAGGCTTGCTTTTGCCAGCTTCATGCAAAGAGACTTGCTTTTGCCAGCTTCATGCAAAGAGGCTTGCTTTTGCCAGCTTCATGCAAAGAGGCTTGCTTTTTGCTGGTAAGGGTGACTGCAGCTGGGACTGGGCTGGGGAGGCTGCAGCTTCCCGGGGTATGGCAAGCAGCCCCAGAGCCCCACAGTTCTGGGGCTGCTTGCCACCCCCCAAGGCAGGGTGCAGGGCAGTCAAAAGGGCAGAGATGGTGGGGAGACAGGTGGGTGGAGGGAGTTGGAGGCAGTCCCTTACCTCACTGAGGCTCAGGGCTGGGAGGGACCAGAATGGCTTGGATTGGGGTAGATCCTCGGCTAATGACAGGCGGAATTCGCTTAACGACCACATCGGGGAGTGCTGGGATTGCCGTCGCTAAGAAATGCCATCACATGACATCTCACTTTACAAGCGCACTGCTTAGCGACAGAAATTCCAGTCCAATTGTGGTCTTAAGTTGAGGACTACCTGTATATAAGTTTTCAAGATCCATCCTTTCTTCCTTATTTACCTCCAGATGCAGCAATCCTTCTTCCATAAAAATATACCTTTCCTCTTCTTCTTTTAGAATCTTTCGCACATTCTTCAGACCATTCAGTTGATCCACAGGAACTTCCAAAGTTTCAATACGTTTCAGAAGCCTTCAGCAAATTGTTAAACAAGATTATCATTTTATGCTAATACTACCAAGATTAACTAATATATGAAATCATGCAATGGATGAAAATATCAAACTAAGTGGAATTAATTTAGTACTAGTTACTCTGCTAAAAAATGTTTCTCTATTGATGATCAATGAAGCTCTTATGTTCATAATATATTTCTTTCCTATGATCTCTGCATTGATCTTTGGGCATCAACAAAAGAAACATACCAAGCACTTGGCCTATAATTGAGAAAACTGCTGAAGTCCAAATCTGAATACATATCAATTAGTGCAACATGTCTTCATTTGGATAGTGATAGCGTGCACACTTAAGTGTTTGAACTCAACACACAACTTCAGCCTTTACCATAATGATACAGCTGTATTCTATTGGGTTAAAGCAATACAACCCTAGTTTACAAACCACAATTGTTTGGTTCACATAGCTTAAGGCAAGACAAAACAAACCACACTGTGGTTTAACCCAAAATATGATCCCCCCCCTGAAAATGCCCCTATTCCCCTCAATAGGCCATGGAGGGTTCAGAGGCATTCTTATAACTAAGAATGGTACCGTGCAATGCAATAGCTTCTCATTTATTATTTAATTAAATATTTTTAACAAATAAAGCCACATGTATTGGCACTGCGGAAGAATATCAATGAGATAGTGGGGTGGATCCCTTACTACATATAATACCCATGTAGAAAGGGTTATTTAGCCAGCTGAAGCAATCTGTATGTAATTTAGCAAGCTTTGTATCTATCTATCTATCTATCTATCTATCTATCTATCTATCTATCTATCTATCTAATTTATATAGCCATCCATCTCACAAAAAGTGATTCCAGGTGGCTTACAGCATTATACCTTCTTCCTCACGTGCTTAGACGTTACTGTCAGCTTTGTGAGGTCATCCAGACAGGAAGCATGCCCAGATGAACTAATTCTACTTTATTGTAAGGTTACTTTAACAGAATCCTGCATGTCTGAAAGTACATTTCTCCCCTTTACAGCCCAAGAAACTAGGGAGGGCCCCTTCTGAGACATTAGCCATGCCCACATTTCTTCTGCGGAATAAGCTGCCACTTATCCAATTGTTCCCCTGGCTGTGGCTCTTCTCCCTGTCTCCCAAGAGCATTCCCACATACCATTAGTTACCTAGCCAGGTTGGCAGATTGGTTATCTGTATTCCTTATTTGTTTTCCTACTTTCTTTTCCTACACCTGCTTGGGGTGACAGGGGGAGAAGACAATAGCTGCATACTAGAATGCTCTCATAAATATATTAATAGTAAAGGGTCACTTATCTGGGTTCCCAAAATATTGGCCAGATATGTTGTCAGACCTCGTCTACCCTAAAAATATCCATGGCAAAGGGTCCGTCTAAAGTTATGATCAAGTCCTTGATAAGATGTACTACCAAGCCTTCCCTGGGCGTTACTGTTTATACTCCCTGTTCCTGACTAGTTAAAAAGGTGGCAAAAGCCCCCAGACAGTTTGAACCTTGATGTAACTCAAAATCCTGGGAAGGTCCTTTGTAAGTACTGGCTCCAAGGAAGCTGTCTGCTGACATTCTTGGGGTTCCTGGCAAGTTGAAGGATCATGGACTGATATATCTTTCTCTCTTAATATTTATTAAATAAAATCCTTTTTGGCATTCCACCCTGGTTTCAGCCTATTGTCTTTGAATCCTAAAGAGCCTATTGGCTACCAGGTGGCAACACACCATGAGGGACAGAACCTTATGGGTTCCAAAGGAGATGTCTACAAACACACAGGTGCCTAGAGGTTCCATACTTATTTTCATATTAACTTAAGAGCTCCAAATTTGAGTGCATGCACATACATACCAACCTAGGTAGATATGTTGTTTCTGTTTATCATTTCATCTTTTAATAAGTTTAATGTATTTTATTAGGCCCTAATTGGGAAATAATTCTGATTCTAGGATGCTACAGGTAGAAATATTAAGATCCAAGAAACCAACAAATAAACCAATACCATTCTAATTTTTTTCTTAAAAAAGTGGAAAAAATTAAGAAATGATTTAAAAAATCTAGTAATATTGGGTGCAGTCAATGATAAGCTAAACTTGAGCCAGCACCTGTACAGCTGCTCCAAAAATGGCTAATACAATTCTGGGTTACGTTAGAAGTAGCACTGTATCAAAAACATGTCAAGTCCTAATTCCCCTCTACTTTGCAATATCAGAAAGATATTGACAGGTTAGAAGAGGTTCAGAGGAGGGTAACAATGATACAGAGACTTGAGAACATGTTCTGTGAGAGCTGGGGATGTTCAGTCTGGAGAAAAAAAGATTGAGAGAAGGCATGATTCAAGTGGATGAAAGAATGTCACAGGGAAGATAGTCAAGAACTAATTGACTATCCACAAAAACTAACTGACTATCCACAGAAACTAGGACTAGAAATAATGGGTCCACATTGCAGTTACCTAGATTTCATTTAAATATAAGGAAAATATCCTGATAGTAAGATCTGGACAACAATGGAACAGTCTACCAATGGAGGTTGTGAGTTCTCCATTTTTGGAGGTTTTTAAGAGGAGGCTGGAGTCAAGGATGGTTGAACTGATTTTCCTGCCCTTTGCAAAGGGTCAGACTAGATGATCCTAGTGACCCTCTTCAAACTCCACAATTCTATGATTCTATATTTCCTTTTAAAATTATGCATAAAACTGGCCAAGATGCAAAATAAATTCTTGCATGATTGGAAAAATTACAACAAATAAAAGAAATAAACAGGCATGAAAAGATATGAAAGAATAAAGTGGTAAACTTTTAAAAAGCTAAAGAAAAAGATAAACATAAAAGATAAAAGCAAATCAGAGTTCAAGAAATGAGACTTGCTAGATGGTATTTTATGTGGCAAAATTGGTATTTTGAGTCTACTTTTTTCAGAAAATGTTCGGTAACTAACTGAAGGAGAAAGTCCAGAATATATAATTAATCTTTTTTTTCACTACAAAGCATTTTTTTTTTGTCTTCAACATTATGAGAAGCAGGTGAACAAAAGGTTAAACATGGTATATAAAGAGATATTACAATCTTTAGAGTTCAGGAATTTGTAACTTCATTTGCAATCTTAGTGAAAAAAATTAATAAAATAAATTCAACTAATGCCTTTATAAGTGTTTGGATAACTTTGAGTAACTATACTTTTAATACACCAATAATCTATGAGCAAACCAAGATACTAATAATACATTTACAAAGTAATAAAGTGACTTCACTTCTATAAGGTTACAATCAATCAATCAATCAATCAATCAAAATGCATGTATTTCAATTTCTCAGATGTGTTGCTTTTTGACGTGAAAAAAGAAAAAAAATAACCTATCTTGCCTTGTTGCTTCAAAATGTTTAGAAATGTTACATTTATGGATTTCCTTGTATTAGAATATCATTACTCATAAGGGGGCAAAACTGACAGGTGACAATGAGTTTCAAGTTCTTGAGCATATTTGTAATTCTGGGGAGTTTCACAAACACCATTTCAAATTGATTGCTACTGTTTCTTGGCTATTAATGAAATAAGAAAATTAAACTCATTTCTCACTATTCGTACTATCACTTGATATATATAGGTAGTCCTCACTTACTGACCACTGATTCAACAATCATTCAAAGTTGTGACGACTCTGAATGAGTGATACTTACAACCAGTCCTTGAAGTTCCGGCAGTCGCAGCACCCCCGTGGTCAGGTGATTGTAATTCGGGCACCTGGCAACTGACTCGCACTCACAATGGTTACAGTGCCTCGCAGTTCCATGATTGCCATTTGCAACCTTTTCTGCCAGCTTCCCACAAGCAAAGTCAATGGGGAAGGTGGCAGGAAGGTCACAAGTCACTCCACCTCAGCCTTCTTGCACTCACATTGCGCCATCCTCCCCCCAGCCTTCCTGTGCTTATGCCACAGCACCACTCTCCCCCAGACTCCCCAACTCGCATGCAGCCTACCCACAACTCACGCACGGCTTGTGCCAGGCCTCCCAGAGCCTGCCCTGCACTCCTTACCTGGGACTCCCACCACTTCCTGGTTAATGACATCTTAAAGACCCTGCATGTCTTGGTGTTACAACAGCAACTAGGACTGCCAGAATTTTCTTTGCTAAGTGATTTGGTCATGTGACATTGGCTTTATGATCACATCGCTTAGTGTCAGGAATCCTGGTCCCAACTGCTGTCGTACCCAAGGACTATCTGTTTCTCAAGGCAATGGCAGTTTGATTCAGTAGTTCACTCCTGGCATAGAAAAAGAAACCCTAGTTCAGCTGCAACCACATCCAGCTGGCCAATGGGCTGGTGGTTAATGCACAAGCAGTGGGTATTACACTGCTAACAGCAGACAACTTATTTTAAATCTTTTTTGAGGATAAATCTTATTGAATTCAAATGCATTTACATTACCCTAATATAATATGAACATTGGCAAGAATTTTTTTGTGTTGCTGTTCACCTGTTTTCATTACCTTTCCTTGAGGATATTCAAGCACTTTTCCGTTTCACTGTAATTTTGTCTAGGTTCATATATAACAGATCTGTAAAGAGAGATAATATATTAACATTTTTTACCCATGTACACATTATATTTGATGCTTTTGTATCCTTGCCTGGAAAAAGTGTTAATGATTAGCAGACACAAAATCACTGCACACCAAGATAATCCTCAATGTAAACTGATAGATTTGTGTCTTGCCTTCAGCTTTTGAACTTCTAGTCTGATGATCTACTGTTCCAATAAAAAGACATTTCCAGTATAATTGTTAGCATTTATATAATAGGTTGGTGTTATGTAACAGCCGCCACCACCAAGTTATTTTGGTCGTTGTTGTTGTTCAGTCGTTAAGTCATGTCCGACTCTTTGTGACCCCATGAACCACATTGCGCCAGGCCTTCCTGTCCTT